TTGTCGACGAAGGCAATCCGCGAGGGGTTCAAACGGGATTCATCGCCGTCCGAGAAGCCTTCCTTGGAAGCGTCTCTTCGGGAAGTGGCCGGCAGGGTGGCGCGGAGTCCTCGCCGGGATCCCCCTTCTGCGGTGCGGATGAAGAAAAGGACCTATCGAGCCCCGGCGTCGGCATGGCATCCGCGCTTCCCTCCGCCATGGCGAACCTCGGCGAGACGATTCGAACGGCCGTGGTGAAGGGGTTACCCCCGGTTTTCTCGCTCCCCCCACGAGCCCGTGAGGGCGCCAGCCTCTCTGGGTACTTCCCAGAGGCCGCGACGGAGGGGGATGCCAGGTTTCTCTCCGATCAAACCTCCCTGATCAAGGAGGAGGCCTCTCTCCGAAGGCAGATTAGCTCCTCGCTCCAGCAAGATCACATGGATTACCTGCGCACGACGACCTTTGAGCACGCCCTGGGCACCCTCTACGTCGCGCTTCGCTACGAAAAGCTGCGGCGAGAGGTGCATCGGTTCGCGCTAGAGCAGCTCGATCTGATCTTCACCTTTGGAATGATACTGCATGGGGATTTGCTTCGAGCATACCGGGAAGAAGGTCGACAACTCGCCTACCAAGTGGCGGAGCGTCATCGTCAGCAGGTGAGGCTCCTGATTCGGCAGGAGCGCGACGACCGCGTGGGGATCGAGGCGCTCTGTCGTGTGGAGGGCGATGATCTCTGGTCGATTGAAGCCGCCCAGCGGGGATGTTTTCTTGAGGAAGGCGCCGTCCGACAAGAGTGGAAGGCGATCGAGGAGGATATGCGTCGGGAAATCCTTGAGCGTTTTGTACGCGAAACGCAGCTCCTCAGTAAGGCAAAAGAGAAGCGGTGTGGACGAGGGCCGTGGGAGCCACGGATCCAAACTCTCCACCCCGCCGAAAAGCGGGGTTCTGATGCAAGGTTGCATTTAGGGTCTTCCTTCGGCTCAGCGGATCTGTCGGAAGGTGTGGTTCACTGTCAACCGAATTCCGGAGAGCCGTGGCATCTTCGAGGGTGTGTCGCCCCCCTATCCCCATCACCGCAGGAGAACGCCGCGGGGCGGGAATCATTTCCAGACTGGCTGGAACCAGCGCACGCCGTTCACGCGGATTCCGCGTCTTCGCTTTCGGCGACGGTGGAAACCACCCCCCCTTACGCGAGCCTCACCGCCCTCACGGGCGCCGGGGGGGGTCTTTTCAGCGCGCTTCACACGTTTAAAACGAAGCTGCGGGAGACGGTGGCGCCGACCCCGCTCACCCGTCAGCCGATCGCAACCTCGGGCGACGCCACGCCCCGACGGCGGCCCTTCACGCGAAACGAGGAGGCGAATCCCTCCCGAGGGAGGGTTGGCGACGCTCCAAAGGCCCTTCAACCCGTGTTACCCTCACTTCTCGCCAAAGACAACGGCGAGGGTTGGGGGTGGTCGGAGGACGACGAACCAGCGGGAGGGGGGTGGAAAGAGGCGCCTTGCGATGCGCGCCACGTCCAAAAGATCCCCCCCTCATCGTTGCGATCGCAAATTGGAAAACGCGACGACCCGCCACGATCCCAACCTCGGCAGCAGGGAGGGATGCCAAGCATGGTGGCCCTGCGAAGGGAAGCTCCTGAAGCGCGCATCGTTCCTCTGATGAAACCGAGCAAAGAGAGTCATCAGAAGGACGCCGGGGTCGGAGAACCCTCCGGTTGTCTCCCATTGCAGGCGTCGAAACGAAAAACGAAACGCGCACCGCTGGCTGTTGTCCTGCCCGCTGAGTTGGTGTGCCCGCTAACGGAGGTTTCAACCTCAGAAGCCTTGGAGGGGGTTAAAAATGAGGTGGAGAAGGAATCCAAGGGGTCGCTTCCCGTGCAACCGGGGGCCCCTTTGTTGTCGTGCTCGCGCACCTCCACAGGGTTGGTTGAGGGTAGTGAGAGGGACCTGGTAAAGGACGAGGGGGACCCTCCCAACGATGGCAACTCCCCCTCGTTTCCATCGTTATCGATTTGGACGATTCCGACGGATGCGGCCGTGGTGGTAGAGGCTCCGCCTCGGGCGCCCTCCAGCGTCACTCAAGAGGGCCGGGATGGCGTCGTGGTGAGGAAACCGACGCGTAAAGCCGCGGAGGGGGGAAAAGGAGGGGGAGGAAGGGAAAGACGCGCCCGAGGGCTCGGCCTGGTGGTGATGGCCCTCCCCTCGACGGATGCGCCGCCCTCGGAGCAGCAGGAGGCCCCCTCCTGAGGGTTTTCAGGCTACCGGCATCGTGCCCACACGCGTGTGTAAGGAAAATACGGTCGCGCAGGGGCTCGTGCAAACATCTATCTGGAGAAAGAGGGATTCCAAGCTCTCTCGGAAATCTCTATGCGGTGAGTCACCGAGAAAGTCCGCAGTGTAGCATGGTTCTCGTGATTTGCAGCTGCAATGCAACAAAAAGCCGTCCGCGGGGATGAGGATATTCTTTTCCGTTTAAACCAAGATTTCATTTAGTTGCATTCTTTGTTG